TGCATATTTGTTTGCATTTTCTTCCTGGGCAACAAGAGTGAAACTCCATTTCAAAAAAAAAAAAAAAAAAAAAAAAATTCTGGTTGCTATATTTTTCTTTTAAATAATTTCAGATAGACTCTTTCATCCCAAAGTCCTGGTATTACAGGCGTGAGCCACCGTGTCCGGCCTTTACTTATATTTTTATATCTTCTAGTTGCTGAGATTTTTGTTGTTGTTAATTCTATTCAGTGCAATGTATAGGTCAATCAGGGGTCTACCCAGGACTTCATATACAGGCTTAAAGAGTCCTTTTCATTGGTTTCCTGTCTTCTAAAATTTTCTCTGGGTGGCTGAAGGTCATCCTATAACTGCTGGATGGTGATGATGATCCAATTTAAATAGGGTCAAAGTCCAGGGCAGCTCATAACACGACAGCTTGCTTCTTCAGAGTGATCAGTTGATAAGTGAGAGGGAGAGAATCACGAGATGGAAGTGTAACTGAATCTCATATTTGTAACCTAATCTCAGAAGGGACATCCTATTACTTTTGCTGTATTCGATTTGTTAGAAACAAGTCACTAAGTCAAGCCTATACATGGTAAAAGGGGATGACATAAGAGCCTGAATATCAGGGGCTGGTGATCGCTGCGAGTCATTTTAGAAGCAGCCTATCACAGTCTTCTCTATTTTTTTTCATCGTTTTGTAGCTTTCAGAGACATTGAGAGAAGGAAAAGCTACATTTCATATTTACCCTCATGCTTGCTTAGCACTTCTTAATTATGGATATTATTGGCTTAAGTATATATATACATTATATATATATTTTTTGGAGACAGAGTCTTGCACTGTTGTCTGGGCTGGAGTTAGTGACACAATCTCGGTTCACCGCAACCTCTGCCTCCCAGGTTCAAGCAATTCTCCCGCCTTGGCCTCCCGAGTAGCTGAGATTACAGGCATCTGCCACCACGACCGCTAATTTTTTTGTATTTTTAGTTGAGACGTGGTTTCACCATGTTGGCCAGGCTGGTCTTGAACTCCTGATCTTGTCATCTGCCCACCTCGGCCTCCCAAAGTGCTGGGATTACAGGCATGAGCCACCACGCCTGGCCTTAAGTATACCAATTTGTTTTTTCCTATTTATCTCATTTTTGTTCTTTTCCTTTTTGCCTGCCTTCTTTTAGGTTAATCCAGTACACACAGTGAAAGACACAGCACTGGACAGGCACTCAAACTCCTGACCTTGTGATCCACCCATTTTGGCCTCCCAAAGTGCTGGGATTACAGGTGTGAGCCACTGTGACCGGCTGGGCAATTACTGTTTTACTTTCTATCATCAGAGACTAGTTTGCCTGTTCTGGAATCTCAATTTCATATGAATGGAATCATATGGTGTATATGTGTATACCCTATCCACACTGAATAGGTTGTATACATCTATATATTCCTTTTGGTTTTTTTTGAGACGGAGTCTCACATTGTCACTGGGCTGGCATGCAGTAGTATGATCTCAGCTCACTGCAATCTCCGCCTTCCAGGTTCAAGCAATTCTCCTGCCTCAGCCTCGTGAGTAGCTGGGATTACAGGCACCCGCCACCACACCCAGCTAATTTTTTGTATTTTTAGTCAAGATGGGGTTTTGCCACATTGCCCAGGCTGGTCTTGAACGCCTGACCTCAAGTGATCCACCTGCCTTGGCCTCCCAAAGTGTTGGGATTACAGGCGTGAGCCACTGCACCAGCCTCTTTTGGCTCCTTTCAAGCAGCCTGATTTTGAGATTTCCTGTATTGGCCTTTTTGCCATCCCTTTTTGTATGCTCTGTGGCCCAGGCTGGAGTGCAGTGCTTGATCTTGGCTCACTGCAACCCCTACCCCGGGTTCAAGAGATTCTTCTGCTTCAGCCTCCCTAGTAGCTGGGACTACAGGGATGTGCCACAATGCCTGGCTAATTTTTGTATTTTTAGTAGACACAAGGTTTCATCATGTTAACCAGGCTGGTCTTGAACTCTTGACCTCAGGCAATCAACGTGCCTCAGCCTCCCAAAGGGCCTAGCTAGTAAATTATTTATTTTAGATATTGCAGGTATTCCTCATTAAGATTTTCATTAGGGCCGGGCACGGTGGCTCAAGCCTGTAATCCCAGCACTTTGGGAGGCCAAGGCGGGTGGATCACGAGGTCAAGAGATCGAGATCATCCTGGTCAACATGGTGAAACCCCGTCTCTACTAAAAATACAAAAAATTAGCTGGGCATGGTGGCATGTGCCTGTAATCCCAGCTACTCAGGAGGCTGAGGCAGGAGAATTGCCTGAACCCAGGAGGTGGAGGTTGCAGTGAGCCGAGATCGTGCCACTGCACTCCAGCCTGGGTAACAAGAGCGAAACTCCATCTCAAAAA